CAACGCCGAGGCTTGCGATCCCGTCGCCGGTCCCTGGTCCGGTACGGGGGCAACACTGAGGGTTGCGATCCGTTGCCGGACACGGAAAAAAGACAAAAAGACAAAAAAAATAAAAAAATAAAAAAATAAAAATAAAGTACTTCAGGAAATGCAGGTTTTTCAGGGATATTTGAATGTCATTAGTTAACATAGAAAGAAATTTTAGCCAGGACCAAATAGATTCCTGTAAAATGAGCAAAATCATATCTTTACAGATATTTGTGTTTTAATATATTTTAAGCAACTGTCAAAGGACATATATTGAAGTTATGATAATTTGAATAATGTAGAATATTCAGCTGTGGCATGGAATATGGAAGAAATTTGTCTCCGTATACTTGATATTTGCGAAATTATCAGTTTTAGAGATATTAACATCCTCATAAAAGGTCTAACCAATTTCTGTGAGTGCTGGGACAATACGGGGTGCCTACAAGGACAGTAGTTAGAATTGGGTAGACCTGGATTTACATTCTGATTTCACCATTCAGAAGTCACCAAATCTCTATGTACCTCGATTTCTTTATCTTTAAAATTAGAATATGTGAAAGTTAAATTTTGTTTGCTATTAGATATGCAAGAAGATTAATACATAGTTTAAATGTTTCAATATATTTTAGCTTTATTCACTAGCATCTGCACTCATGTTCCAATATCCTGCCATATAGCCTTGATTAACTATACTCCTATTTAAAACCAGACCCTCTACTTGAGAACTCGATCTCACTCCTCCTTGTCTACTTAAGGACATCGCTCAAACAGTTCCCTCTCTTCTGACCTACATTACCAGTTGCTTCCTTTTACTGAATCATCCCCATGGGCATACAGACATCCTGGTATTTCTACCGTCTTATAAATTAAACTCTCTTCATCCCCAATTCTCTGCCAGCTACCTCCCCATTTTCTTTTTATTTATTTATGTGTTTGTTTATTTGTTCTCCTTTCAAGGGAACTTTGAAAAGAGCTGTCTGTGCTCACTGGTTAATCTCCTCTTGTGCTTTTTAAAACCCACTCCAGACTGGCATTTTCCCATCCTGTGTGAAAAAAAATGTTCTTGTTAATGTCACCAGTGACCTCTATGTTGCTGTATCCAGTCCTTATCTTACTTGACCTATTACCAGCATTTGACATACTTTGACTCCTGCTCCTTAACTTTTTTTTTTTTAACTTGCCTTTCTCCTATGATCATTTGGCTTCTCCCTCTCAAGCTCCTTTAAGGGTTCTAACTCTTCTGCCAGACATCTTGAGGTTAGAGCCGCATCGGATGCTCAGTCCTTCATTCTTTTTTCTACATATGTCCACTCCCTTGGTGATCTCACCCACTCTTTTGCTTAAAATTTCATTTATGTATTGAGGGCTCTCATACATCCAGTGCAAACCTCCCTCCTAAATCCAGATTTAAATATCCTGACTTGGTGTATGTAATCACTGGAATATCTGAAAGACGTTTCAAACTTAACATACTGGAAACTGTACTCCTGATCTGCCCCCAAACTTTCTGGACCCCCAGCCTTCCCCATATCCATTGGTGGCAACAGCATCCTTCCAGTTGTTCAGGCCAAAGTCCTGGGAGTTGTCTTTGACTCTTTCTCTTAAATTACACTCTGTCAGGAAATCCTCTTGGGTCAGCCTTCAGAAGATGTCCAGAATCTAACCACTTCCAGTCAATTCATTGCTGCAACCCTTGCTTGTTTGGATTATAGCAATAACCCCTAATTGGTCTCTCTGTTTTTTTTTTTTTTTTTCTACCTGTTGTTACCCTTAAGTCTGTTCTGAATACAGCAATCAGAGTGAATTTTTTAAACTAGTTTAATTTTTAATTTTGAAGTATGTTCATATCCCTCCTCTGGTCAAAATTCTGCAATGACTTCTATTTAATTCACACTAAAAGTCGAAGTCTAGGCAGTGGGCTACAGTACCCTCTGTGATCTGGCCTCTGCGTTCTCTCTCTGACATCATGAGATTCTACTGCTCCTTAGTTTACTCTTGCTGTTCCTTAAATAAAGAAGATTCCTTAAATAGACCTTAGGGCCTTGGCACCAGCTTTTCTCTCTGTCTACAGTACTGTTCCCACGAATATCTGCATGTATCACTTCCTTAGTTTCATCCAATCTTTGGTAAAATATTGCCTTCTCAATGAAGCACCCAGTAATCATCCTATTAAAAGTTTCAAGATGTCTTCACTCATTCTGCAGTCTCCAGGGGGAAAGAGGTAATGGCTAGTTCTGTGGTTTTTTCTTTAGACTCAGAGATGTCCAGGGATTTTATGTTTTCTATAATCCTCCTTGCAACAGGAACTCGAGAAGTGTCTGCATACCTATACTTCATCCAGAGAATCCAGCTGAAGTTACTAGGTAGCAGAATAAGCACCAATATGTACTTTATTGTTGTGACTGGTACAGATGGAGGGAGCTGCTCTGGAAAATGAACAGAAGCTCATCACATGCTCTGAAAGGGCTACTTAACTAGCAAGGTATAAGCTGAAGGAGTGGTCCTGCTTACCCAACATCATCTGTCATTGCCACCCATGTCCCAAGTGTGCAGTGGTTTGTGGACACTAGAGACAGTCTGGGAGTCAGGTGACGTCTGTGATGCTGGTTGCTATACCTGCTCTTTTATTGCCTATCCTGAATCTTTTCTTAAAGCACAGTAGTACCCTTGGAGCTGGGTAAAGCCTGTGGTATCTCGTGAGTGTGACTGTCAATCTGACCCTAAGATTACTGCTACTAATAGATCAGAGTAGGCACTATAAGCCCAACCTTCCTTACCTTGCTCTAATTTTTCTTTTTCCATAGCCCTTAACATCTTCTGACTATATAACCTAGTTACTTATGTTTGTCAATTATGGTTCGTCTTCCCTCACTAAAAGGTAAGCTTCATGAGAGCAGGGATTTTGTCTTTTTGTTCATTTATGTAGCCCTAGCATCTAGAACAATGCTTGGCACACACTAGGTGCTCAATAAATATTTGTCAAATGAATGAATGGACAAATGTTTCTTTTAGTATTTATTCAATGCCAGTCATGAGGCATGGTAAAGACAAGTAACAATTTTTGCCTTTATATTTCCTAGAGCCTAGAATATGAAGATGGTTATTAGTGAGATACTCCAATTATAGAGATCCTTAGGGAGGCTTCCCAAATCATATCAGGAAAGAGGGCCTTGGAGAAATACATTTCAAGGAGAGTTACTTCTTTGCAATGACAATGTCAAAGAAAGCTGTATTTTAGTAAATTATATTTACATATGTGAAGGAAGACAGTGTTATTAGGGGAGATGTTATATGTTAGGATTGACCAAAAAGATGAATCCCCCAAATAAATCATTTACACAATTTAGTCTTCACTGTGGTCCAAAGGAGACAATACTGTAAAGTGTGACCCCACAGTGCTCAAAGTAACCTTAAATAAAATTAAGCATGATTACTGCTAAAATAGACCACAATGGTAAAGGAGTAAAAGGTTTTAATTTTGTTTTCAAGCCACTAAATCCATGTAAGTAGCATTGTACTCTTAAAAATCTTAGCAAATGATAATTATCATTTGGTTCATGCAATATCTAATTAGTGTGCTGATATTAATTGGAAATAATACTCCATTTCCTTTTGGCACATGACTAGTTGCATAAATAGAAAAGATTTCTAGTAACGTGCATCTGGGCTTTTGCGTAATTACTTAAAGATTCCTTTGGATGTTAGTTCATAAAAGAAATCTCAAATGTTTTTAAATATCTTCATATCTCCATGCCTTTACTCAGGCTATTTTTCCTGGAATACTCATCTTTGTTGACCCTTGAAAACTCCTCCATGTCCTACAAAATCCAGCCAGAGTCATATTTTCTCCCTGGCTTTTCTTGGCACTGTTTTCCTGCCACCGGTTCTCCCCCTTAAGAGTAATTGATTAATTGTTTCCTCCTCTGTATTCCCAAAGCATTTATTACAAGGTGTGGGTGTTATTTATTTACATACCTCTGAGTTTCAAGGGCATCTGCATTGTCTTTGTTTCTGTAGCAACTGGTACAGTCTCTGTCTCATAATACATGTTCAACAAACGGTTATGAATTAGAGCACTAAAATATGTTTTTACTTTGACCACTGATTCATCCAGCAAATGTTTATTCAGGGCTTTTTATATGCAAGGTCCTGTGGTTCTGTATAATAAAGATACTAAAAAATAAATCAGATGCCCAAGTACTTAAAACTCTAAAGTATAGTGTACTAAGGAAAAATAAGTCACGATAAAGTAAATAAGTCACTATAATACATGATAGAAAGTGTTATTTTCAAAAAGACGTGTGTGTCTGGGGGGTGTATATGCGTGTGTATAAGAGCGATTACTTCCTGCTAGGGTTCAAGAGTGTCTTCCTATTGGCCAACGAAATATTTTCCTTATTAAGTGACTAAAAATCTATCATTCAAAAGAATAAAGCAATAATTCTTTTGATGTCTCACAAATTAGGTTAAATTCTGTCTTAGATCTAAAATGCACCTTTCTTCCTCACTTTAACTTGGTGTACGATTGTATTAAAGCACCATTCAGGAGTTATGCTGCTACTTGTCAAACAATTTATGTTTAAAGTAGCAAAAGAAAGTTTCTTTTGGTGCCTTAAGGTATGAATATTATGCATTCCCTAGTTTTTAGAAGACACACTAAATAAGTCTGTCACATGTTGCTACAAGTCATCCCTAATTGCCATTCGGAAATTGGCTGCAGAAAGCTTTTGACAAAAGTCAACAATAATGTCACTGAAAGAATAATTCAAACCAGATTTTAACTGAGAATCTTTTAAACATTTGATGATCATAGTTCGAATGCCTAGCATTTAGTTGTATTTAAGCCAACAGCTTTTTTACAAAAAAGATAGCAGATTGGCCTTTCCCACATCAAGGCATAATATGTTAATAGTTTACATGACTCGAGATTGAATGGATGGTCACCAAGCAATTTTTCTGTTTTCATTTAGACTTGGATTATCACTTGCTTTTATCTTCAACTGCTCCTATTTAATCCTCTCGTCAAAACTAAAGGGATCTGCGGGAATCGTGTGACTAATAATGTAAAAGACGTCACAAAATTGGTAAGTAAGGAATGCTTTTCCACGGTTGTGACTCTTTTGCTTGTGCTTGTTGATCAAAGACTCAGGTTTTTCTGGCCCCAAATTAGTATTTTTCTAAGACAAGGAAAGGAATCGTTGAGTTATTGTAAAGAGTTTATAGAGAGCAGGTAGGGAAATATTTAAGGTCATGGAGAATTTGGTGGGAAAGTCAGCCCATCACACACCACTGCAGTGAGTTTCTTTGCTGGTCTTTCTGCCTCATTCACAGGTGGTGAAGGACCCAGGAGAGTTTGCTGTGTGCTGATATGCCGGCAACAGCTTGTACCCCATCATCTCTTTGGTGGGTTCCTCAGTGTGTCTTAGTTCCCCTCCACCACTTTCCTACTCTACCATGCCCAACAAAAGGAGTTCGGAGATACCATTCTCCCATTTGCATCAGCATGAAGTCAGATGTGGGTGAGTGCACATAGTTGAAAGAGTGATTTATTCCCCAAATGTTGAGTGGACTCATCTGCCACGTTTGTCATGTTGGAACTCTTCCCTCAGAAGAAGCCCATTTGCACTGGTGTCCCTTGGTCACTGCCAGTTTCATGCCGTGCTTCTCCCGATGCTTCCCTTAAGACTCAAACCACAGAAAGGGTGTAACACATCTGGAACGCATCCTTCCCAACTCTGGCGATCTAGGAGAGAGTTTACATGCCCATTTATACCATGTCTGATTTCAGGATAAACAAAGTTTGAGAAGCATTTTTGTAATTTCCTGGTTCAAAATAGTCAGTCAGGTGGCACTCAGTTACTTGAATATTTACTAGAGAACAGAGGTGATGTGAGAATGGAGGAGAAACGAGGCTTGTAGTACAGAGAAGTGAAAGAAAAGTATACTTGTTGAGATGATAGGATATGGGAGTAGAGGGGGCTTCCCTGCTCTTGATAAACATTTTTCGGTTTGTATATTTTATTTTGGGTTCATAACAGAACTTCAAAACAAAAGTTTAATGCTGTGGTTAAAGTCTCTTAATCCAAATAAGTAGGAGCAGGCTTTCCCTGACCTACTGAACACAGCTGCAGCATGACCTAGCATTTTCAAAAGTAACTTTATGACATTTTTGCTATATAGCCTCAATGCAGAATTAGAAACACACACACACACACACACACACACACACACACCACAATTTATGCAGATTCCTTAGAAGAACACCTAGAGAGTCCAGGTTTAGAAGAGTGCTCTGAAACAGCAGCTGAAGATGTATCTACATATTTTACTTGAGGGATTGGTAAGCAAAACAATGCAACTTTTTCCTACTGTACACCCAGCTGGGTGTTGTGTATAGGGATGAGAGTGAAGGTGAAGTATTTTTTAAAAACATAGATCATGGGGCTGGCCGGTTAACTCGGTTAGAGTGTGGTGTTGATAACACCAAGGTCAAGGGTTTAGATCCCTGTACTGGCCCACTGCCAAAATAATAATAATAAGTACATAGATCATGGTCCTTTTTCTCAAATTGTTTGTTAGTTTGTGACCCAAGAAATAATACTAAAAAGATACTGTGTGTTTATATTCTAAATTTTGTGTATTTCAATAGAAGGCGTTCATTAAATGTTTGTTGAGTGGATGAAGAAATGATTTGCTCCACTTTGGTGAGCAGCTCATCACCTGTGGTGCTTATTAAAGTTACAGGTGCTTGGGCCCCACTCCAAGAAACTAGTTTGATAAGATTGAGAAAGGGCTCCAGGCATCTACATTTTTAACAAATTCCTGAAAGGAGGTTTAAGAACTATTGCTCTAGACGGCCTATTCTGTCAAAGTTTAGAGACTATATGTCCTGGTGCTAATTTAATCTCAATTTTTATTATTATGACTAGTTATACCTATGTTGTATAGATTTATATAGATGTCAGGTTAATACAAATCTCCAGATTATGCTTCAAGGTCCCTGGGAAATTAGAGCTCACACTGAGCTGCTGGTATAACTATGGAAGCTGAGAGTGAGCTGGGGCCAGATCTGCACTGGCCCTAGGGAGCAAATTTCAATTATGCGGGCAAGGAAGCAGATTTGGAAGATGACCACAGACTGGGCATGTCCGAGATTAACATGGTATTTAAGAAAAATTACTGGTAGGCCTTATTATTTGCTAAGTATTTAAGGAATACTACTTAATAAGCATCACTTCCTGTGAAATGTCAAACTAATATTTTCAAGTGGTATAAGTAGGTATTATAAGCACCTTCCAAGATTTTCTATTCTTGTTTTTAACCATCTGCTTATTATTAGCCTGTTATCTAAAAGCTAATACAATGAAAAATGGCCAGAAGCATTAATAAGATGAGAAAGAAGTGTCTGGAAAGGAATATTTATTAATATTGACACTAAAATAGCAAACGTCAAATCATTAAACTGAAATGCTCCTTACAGCTATTAACTCAAAGAGAAAAAAAAAATCAATCTTAAGAGTCGCTGTAGTGAAATTAGTTTGTTTTCTTTGGATTATATTCTTTAATAAGTCACTTGAAAACAAATGAAGGGCTGGCCCCGTGACTCATTCCGGAGAGTGTGGTGCTGATAACGCCAAGGCCACGGGTTCGGATCCTATATAGGGATGGCCGGTTAGCTCACTGTCTGAGTGTGGTGCTGAGAACACCAAATCAAGGGTTAAGATCCCCTTACTGGTCATCTTTTTTTAAAAAAAAAAAAAAAGAAAAGAAAACAAATCAAGTTTATAAAAAGTAGGGCTCAGAAGATCACCTCTAATTGAACAAATAAAGACCTATACAATTCACAGCCTGTATTTCATAGAGTAGGAAATAGAAAAGTATAAAACAATCCCTGAGCTCATAGCAGTTATAATCTAATTTGGGAGATAAGCCATCTCCATTAAAATGTGAATTCATATCACTAACACCACAATAACAAAACAGAAATGGATATCATATAGAAGATCCCATGGTATAACATAGGATCCAACCTGTGCTGATATATTGGTTAAAAGAATGGATTTTGGAATCTTTCAAACCTGAGTTTAAATCATAGATCTTTGACCTTAGATAAATAACTTCCTTTCTAAAACTCAGTTCCTACTTCTCAATTTTGTGGTATAGATCAAACAAGAGAAAGTATATATAAATTTTTCACCAGTTATTGTCACAGAACCTCTTTATGCCTCAGTTTCCTTACCAGTATAATTAGAGAGATTAATAGTTCTTAACCTTAAAGAGTGATTGTGAGGATTAAATGAGTTAATAAAACAGTGCTTGAACAAGGTAAATGCCTGAGATCTGACCTATTTATAGTGGTAGTTGTAGTAGTAGTGGTGTTTGTAGGATCATAAGATGCTGGAGCTGGAAAGAAGTTTAGAGACAATCTAAGCAAACTATTTTATAAATAAGGAAACTGAGACCCAAGAGTGGTGAAACCCAGCTCCTGGTCCCATTTATCAGTGTGTGTCTTCTGGAACAGTGGTTTTCAAACGTGCTCCTAGAGCCCACCAACATATTCAGCTTTTATTTGTATATCTGGATTTCCAAACAAAACTTGGCTTGAAAAAAGAATCAAGCTTATGAAAAAATGTTTGAAAGCTGTCACTTTAAACCAAAGACTGCAGAATATTATTTGAGAACCATACCATCACAATCTCTCAGGGTACTTATTTAAGGTACAGCTGTAAGGGCACCACTGCAGAACTACCAAATCTCAGCTTGTGGAGGTGGGGTGTAGGAGCCTAATGTTTCGGACTAGCATCGCATGTGATAGTTATTTGCATAGAAGTACCAGGACTGCATAGGCCATAATGCTTATAGTGTTTTTTTTCATATTTGAAAAGAAGCTAAGCATTCCTATCCTAACTCACTCATTTCACTAATTCACACAGCAACACAAGTGACTGTTGAGTCTTGTGGATACAGATAATCACAGCCTTTTTCCAAAAAATGCTGGAGCAAAGCGTCTTGGTAGAAGCCAAGAACACCGGGTCATTTAGATACCAGCACTACTATTACCTGGCTGTATGACCTTGGACAAGCCTCTGAACCTTTCTGGGATTCAGTTTTCTGTTTTTTAAAATGAAGAACATGAACATGATCGATAGTTCTGAATCTGGGCCTCATAAGCTTCAAATGCCTGCACATGGAACTCTGAATAGCCCTTCATGTGCTTTATGTCCATTTCTGAGAGAGTGCCCCCTCTCATCACTTCTCAGAGAAGTCTCTGACCCCAAAGAAGACAAGAACTGCTAAATTAGAGACCTTGGAGGCCCTTTTGGCTTTAAATTATTTTATTCCATAGTGATATTTTTTCAGGTTGCACCTCCTGGAATAATGCCTGGACTAAAGGAGTTATACAGAATGAGAGGAATTTGCTTTGCAGACATAACCTTGGTGTATTTTATATGAGAGAAAGAATGAGCTGATGGTATCCTTTTGCCTTGTGCTCACAGTGATTTCTTCAGCTGAAATCATTCCTGTGCAGTCTCTACCAGTGTCCACCTTTGCATTAGATGGCAATGTGCTCTGTGCCCACAAACCTTAAGTTTGTTTGCTCAGGGTGATTCTCATGTCACAGAAGCACATGATTTATGGCTTTACTGACTTTTTTTTTTTTTTTTTAAATTTCTTCTTGGACACTTTCTACTGCCCCTACAGTCCCCATGGTTTTCATTTGAAATCCTTCTGGCATGTTTACTCAGCATAATCATTCATCTATTTACAGAACATTTTGCTTTGTTTCTAAAAAATGTTGCAAGACTTGTTTTAAATGGCAAACTAAGATGTATGTAAAGAAAGGGTCAAGTATCTGGGAAGAAGATGAATCAAACTTTTAAAACTTTTACTCCTGGGAAGTGAGGTTGCAGCTTTTAATAGTTCTAAGTGTCATATAAAGAGGAAATCCAACTATTGAAATAGTTCAAATTAGTTTGCCCTGTTTGCTCTCCCTACTCTTCCTTTTATTTGTGATGATGTTTTTCCTTCATTTGGAGGAATTTAATTAAATGTGACTTTGCTGCTTTTAAAAAATATTTATATC